GGACAATAGAAAGTGGTTAGACAGTTGTGTTGGAACCGAACGCGATTGCTGAAAAATCGTTATTATTGGATTAAGACGTGAATATCTATCTTATCGTCTCTTTAGTTCGAGAATACTGTTCTAGAGGCGAAAAATTCTTGAAACGTGGCTATTCTGAAGCTATTGTCAAGGATTTTTTTTTCAAAATTTTTATCAACATTGACAGGGGGAAGCGGGGTAGGAGGGCTTGCGCGGTTTTGGTCTTAAGAGAGGTTGCCTGTGAAGTCATCTGCCGTAAACTGTCCCAACACTTTTGACCAGGATTGTAATCTTCAGTGAACAGCGAACATCTATCTTGTTTTGTTCGCGGAAGTCGGTCACGGAAGAGCGAATTTCAATGAAATTCATATTTATTTGATTAAGCAATTAGCCAAAAATAGGTTGGCCGCCAAAACAGTTTAGGGCTTAGCCTAGCTCTAACTTTAAGTTTTAAGGCTGAAGAAAAAAATATCTGTCAAGATAATATTATTGAGCATTTCGGTTGTTTGAAACAGAAACATTCGCGTACAATGAACTATATTTACAGTACGTGCGTACCCTGAAAGCAATCCGTTCAGCACAATAATTGTTCAAATTAACAGCTTACCTACAATCCTGGCCATAAGTTGATGGGACACCTCCCCCTCCTCCAGCCTACCTCCAGCTTACCGAGACACTGGCACTGTTGATGCCTCTTATTTATGATTTAGACTTTTAGGATTTGTTTACTTTACTTTTTCTGACTTTTTAGCTGGAGAAAAGGCACTAACTGTACTGGTACAAATAAAAAGGTTTAACCGAAAATCGATCCGTGGAAATCAACAAATACAAATTTAATCACTGTAGCGTTCCTTCAGATCACGTAAGGCTACAAACCAACAATATCAACTTGTCATTACGCTTAAGAAATGAACTTAGAACGATTTTCTCTCTAGACCTCGTTCTTGTAATTAAAATGATCAAAGAAAGAACGACAGCTTAAAACGACATAGCAGTAACACTCGAAC